AACAGATGCGGTTCTGAGACCCAAGGGAAAGCTGATTTTAAAATACTAGGCACAGTTTTGTTTTGTTACTTTCTTTAGGTCATCGCAGACTTTTAAAGTAAAAAAAAAAGGGGGGGGGGAAGAGGAGGGAAAGCAAAGAGCCTCCTCAGTGGGACTTTTTTTCCAGTTCCCATTTTCCCACAGTAGGAATGAAAGGACTGTGGACCGGATAGTCTGGATATAAAATTAAATTCAAATGTTATTTGTTATTTTCACCAGTAAGAGGTTTATCCCTTTTAACCCTTCCCCCCCCAAATATGTGCACTTCCCATACACGTCCTTTATTTCAAATTTAGTTTGCGTCTTTGATACACAAGATGTACACATTCTTCTTTTCATCAGGATATTAATTTTCTCTTTTGTTTTATTTATTTTTGGTCAGAGACTTGCGTAACCCATTGGCAGCAGCTATGCGATGCACAGTTTGTAAAATATCTCGTAGTTCATGAGTAATTTGCAGAGCGCTCCTGGGAAGCACCCAGATTTTTCTAACTCTGTTTCCAACTATCTCTAATGTTGAGCAACGTTTTTCTTAACAGTCTTTATTGTGGGATTGCTAATGCTAGTGCCAGAAGCAAAACACTCTTAAAGTTCTGATGGAAGGACACGGTTGTAGGTAAATTTGAAACACTAGAGACCCATTCGTTATCTTTGTATATTGTTGTCTGCCTGCTGTCTGTGTGCATGTGTGCTCGTGAAGCGGGAGCTGTGTAAGGAGCAGGACAGGGTGAGGTAGATCTCTTGGCATTTCTCATTTGTGGCACAATGGAATGTTGTTAATTAGTGTCTGTGTCTGTGGTTGTGTCTGTGATTGTGTACTTCTGTCGGCAAGCTTGATAAATAGCAAGGACTGACAAGGCTTTTAACTTGGGGTGTGTGATCAATTGCAGGAAAACATAAGAGTTTAGGGAAATAATTGATGTTTACTTGGCACACTCAGTTGATTTTTTTAAAGTAATGGGGTTGAAGAAAGAAGTGCAGAAAACTGAGGGTTGTTCTGCATTGCCGTTCGGTCTTTCAGATTCCTATTGCTGGATCCAACATGTTCCTCAAACCAGTGTGTACAGACGGATCAGAAGTTGCAGCCCTTGTTGCTAGCTCTTGGAACATCCAAGCGTCATGAAAGTGAGAGCTTGTTGTCGTAAGAGTAACCGGGGCATGGAGTAGAGAAAAGGGTGAAAAGGCAGTGGTAGAAACCTTGTTACTGGAAACACACTGAGGTACAACCACTAGTCTGAGCTGAGAGTTAACTAGTGGGAAATGTTAATGAGCTGTGGAGGTCTGCTTAAGTAATCTGTGGCCAGTGACGTAGCTCTAAGAGAAGAAAAATATTAACGACTTCAGTCATTGGATCAGTGCTTAAAGCCCAGCCTTTCTGGAATGGTTAAGTGGTTTTCTAGGCAAAGCTAAATACTGCATGGAATTACTGAAATCAAGTAAAAAGTGTTGTAGATCTGCCTCTGCACTCGGCATCCATCAGCTTTTGCGCAGCCCACAATCTTAATGCCTCTCTGATATCCCCTCATCTCTGTTTTGCCTTAAACAAATCATTGCTAACCTGGAAATCCTAATCTGCCCAAGGGCTCCCGCGATGCCCCCTTCCAGCTGCTGTGCTGCTTTCTCATTTGAATGAGTAATCCGGGTGTTCCCTTCAGCTCACAGTTCTTCCTCTCTCTTTCAAAATTCTGCTAATTCCGTCTGCATGACAGCCTCTCCTGTCTGTATGCACTGCTGAGCTTTCATCAAAGCTGTCTCTGATTTTGCATCTTGGTTACTGCAACATCATTTCCTTGGCTTTGGCAACTGTCATCTGGCCTGTTTTGTATCCTTTCAGAATACGACTGCGAAAGGGTTTTGTAGCTTCATGTTTGACAGGGAATCAACCTACATTTGACTCCTTCATCTGTGACATCTCCGACATAAGCTGCATGTCCTGGACATGAACATCTGTAACGCTAACTCATTTTCCTCCTCTGAAACCCTCTCTGAGTTGCTGGGTTTTGTCACACCTACAAAAACTTGACTGTGATTGACCTACTGATATGTGAAAGCTGCTCTTCACTGCTTCTTGCTGTGACCCTGCCTGACCCATCTGTATTCATCTATTGTACTTCCTGTATTCTTAAGTCTTTTTATATTTGAGTTGTTACCTCTTTGAAGCAGGTATTTGTTTATTCTCATTTGTCTTGCTCTCTGGGGCCTCCTGAGGGACTAAGTAGGCTGCAGAGAGTTGCATGTCCTTATAACCTCACTTTGCTGAATCAAAATTACTTTCCTCTTGAGTAACAGTCCACAGATGCTTCTTCCTGTCCCTCATGCTTAATTCCTAGGTATCCAGAGATATTCTGAAAGCTGTGTGACACCTGTTGAGGTCTGGTCATATTTGGAGAGGGCTCTGTGGCCAGAGCAGAGTGTCGTCTCTGTAGAACCCACTTTGGCTTCAGTTTCCTTTCCCAAAGCGTGTCTGCTGGGATTAGTGTGCATTGCATCTGTGTTCGTTACATCCTGACTAACGACTCTTAGGATGCATCACTCAGGCTTCCCGTTGTTTCCCCTCAGTGAAATATAAGGCATCATAAATAGCGTTAACTTTTTTTGTTTCTGTGTCCTAGTTGTTCTCGTTCAAATTCTTTGCCTTGGTGTAGTTCTGTCAGAAGTGCTGTATTTACCAGCATTAGAGGGAATCCCATTCTCATGAAGAACTCGCATTGTGAGTAATAAATTCAAATTGCTGATATGTTTTCTTATTTTGGAGACTTTTGCAGTGTGGTCCGGTTGAACAGCATGTGGGAGGACTCCATCCCGCCCATGTGGGTGGGACCTGCCCTTATTCTTGTCCTTGCAGAAGCAGCCAAATGCAACTACCTGCACTGGGCCTGAGTTTTAGACCCCAACTTGAAAAGGCAGCTTAGGTGTGGAGGCGAGCCACATCCTGCTCGTGGGCATGGCCTGGCATTTAAAGCCTCATCAGAATGGCGTGTGGACATGGACACAAAACCAGGATCCCACCTCTGTGTCATCTGAGTTTGTAATGACATAAGAAAATTCAGCATTTTGTTAATCTTGTATTACTGATCGCAAAAAGAAAAAAAGAAAATTGTGTGTCCACTAATGGAAAGGTGAAACTCTAAAAGTGTTCAAGACCATTTGTGTAGAAATCTATGTAAGCGTGAATAATTGGTTCAGTCTTAGCAGCACTTTGTTGTCTTAATATATTACTATGAGCAGCACCTTTAATCCCTTATCCAAATGAAATTCAGGCACTGTAGATTGTTTATTAGAAGAACGCAAGATCCAATATTCTTGGTGGAGTGTTTCTTTTTAGTAAAGGCATTCTTCCAGCTCATCTTTCAATACAAAGTCTTTGGGCACAGTAAGTGCGGAGCAGAACCTGCAGGCTGGAATTCCTTGAACATGCCAATAAGAATAAGGTTTTAAGGAAGAGTTTGGAGCGGGACAGAAGTATGTGAATGCAGAAGCTATAAAATAAGAAAGTAAAACATGGCATAGCAGCTACACTCAGGGCAGAGCAAAGGAAAGGGAAGGATAGTGCATTTTCATAAACTTGCCTGAAATATTCTGTAATCTTACAAACATCAGTTAGCTGGTCTACTTAGAGATATTGAGGGTTCTTTTCTTTTAATACTAACTTTTGATTTTGAAGTGGAGTTCTAAAACTCCAAAGTAGATTTATATTCCAATTACAAATAGCAAATAAAATTGTTTGCATGGTAAGCTTGTATAAATAAACAGAGAGGCAGCCTAGGTTCTAGGAATAAGCATGTGAGCCTGGAATTCCAGAGGTTTTCTTTAACTGGCTCTTATGCTGAATGTTTATTAAAGTTTTCACATCAGTTTCATCATGGAATGCACACAATGAGAATTATTTAACACATTGTGTTCAGGGGTTACGTTACATTACATTGATCAGTGCTACCCTGCTCTGTAGAAACCTTCAGAGAAGAGTGAACAGATTTGATGAGAGAGTAATGTGACGGCACATAAAATCCCTTGATAATGAAAACGTGGCATATGTTTGATTTTTAAAAAGATGACTATAGAGAGACTTAACCAGATTGATAGCTGTGAAGCCGAGGTATTCTTACCCTTTTAAAGTATTTTCTTTGGTACATCAGCCATATGCAACCAAAATTTATTTGTCTGGGCACAGTGTAACAGACTCCTGCTATAAACTACATTAAAAGGCAATGATGCTGAGGCATAAGCAGCACTGGGAAGCCAGTGATTTGTTTGAAACGGTACTCGTTAGTGGAGGCAGCCGAGGCAGAAGTGTGTTAGTGCATTGACCATCCTGATTATTGCAGCTTCTGGGGTTCTCTTGAGTCCACGCTTTCACTTTTGTGATATTAAGATCTTTTTAATCATAAGGATTAAAATGTTTATTAAGTGATCTGTTAGGGAGGATTCTGTATCTTGTAGCTATGTCTAATTAGGAAAGGATAGCTAACTGAGGAGGGAAGATGACAGAGTGGGAACTCAGCACAGTGGGAAATGTGTACTAATTGATCTCGGTTTACACATTTTAATTACCCAGCCAGGTTCACATGAAAGCAGAGGCAGTTGGCAAAGCCATCTGCTAATCCAGTTGTGTACATTTCTGTTTGTCCACTTCTGTGGCACAAGTTGGAATATTTGGAGGTTTTATTTTGCTAAGC